GATAGATAGATAGATAGATAGATAGATAGATAGAAAGATGGATAGATAGATAGATAGATAGATAGATAGATAGATAGATAGATAGATAGATAGATAGATAGATAGATAGATAGATAGATAGATAGATAGATAGATAGATAGATAGATAGATAGATAGATAGGTAGCTATCTAGCTAGCTAGGTAGCTAGCTTTCTAGCTAGGTAGCTAGCTATCCATCCCATTTAAAGGCAGCTTTTGCCTCTTTTCTGTTATTAAAGGAGGATATTCTGTGTGTTTGTGGCTGTTGGATGAGTTTTCTGGAGGCTTGTTTGGTTTTAATAAGCCCCCCCACCCCACCCCCCGGCTCTTTCTTCCATCCCACAGCTTTTTCTGACCCCGCTGACGTGTTTCTGAGCAGATCCAACAAACCGGCTGTTGTGGTTAAACGGGGGTGAAAGGAACCAGGAACCCAGAACATCAGAATAAAAAGACGTTTCCGAACCAAAACTGAGGCTATTCTCTATCTCTTACTGAAGTTTTTTTCAGTTTTAAAACGTTTTTACAGAAGAATTATTAGATTTTTAACACTTTAACTGATGTTTTTATGCCTCTGATGGAGATTATATTCATCTTTTTTGCGATTGTGATACAGAAATAGGTAAAAAACAGGTAAAACATGAAAAAAAGTCAAGTTAGCCTATAAAAACATCCTGAACCATAAAAACCTGACTTCTGTTGGCTGTTTGCTGATCTTAAATCTCTAAAAACACGTTTAAGGTTAACTTTAAAAAACCTTTTTCTCATTTTAACACGTTTTTACAGAAGAATTATTCGAATTTTAAGACATTTCTTGATGTTTTTATCCCTCTGATGGAGATTATTTTCAGCTTTTTTGCGATTGTGATACAGAAATAGGGCCAAAAACATGAAAAAAAGTCAAGTTAGCCTATAAAAACATCCTGAACCATAAAAACTTGACTTCTTTTGGCTGTTTGCTAATCTTAAATCTCTAAAAACAAGTTTAACGTTCGCATTAAAAAACCTTTTTCTCGTTTTAACACATTTTTACAGAAGAATTACTCAATTTGTTAGACGTTTCCTTATGTTTTTATGCCTCTGATGGAGATTATTTTCTGTTCTTTTGCGATTGTGACACAGAAATATGTAAAAAACATAAAAAAGAGTGAAGTTAGCTTACAAAAACAGCCCCCAGTGGGTCGGGGAATGATGAAAGCTTCATTATTTACCTCCAACACGTGTACAGTCGGGGGTCGAGTTCAAGATCAGAGACTCAGTTCAGTTAGCGTGTAAAAATAAAAGCCTTAAAAGGACCGAAAACACACACTGAAAACCTAAAATGAGAATTTATTCTCACATTAATAATCCCGAACGATCAAAACCTGACTTCTGTTGGCT